AAATTGTATTTTGAAGCAGCATGTCTTGTTTGGATACGGGATTGGATAAAATTGGGAAAAGGAGAAGAGTTAGAACTAGAAGGACACAACAATAGATTTGGCTGGCACTCATATTTATGGTATGGGAAAGGGAAAAAACATAAAGGCTTTTCAAACTATATAATAAGAAAGTCATTAATAAGAGTGTGGGAAAAATATAAAGATCTGTTAGAGCAGAAAACACCATGGTGGCTGTCACCCACTGAAGCATTTTCACTTAAGTCGACCAAAAAAGTAAGCTGGTTGTTATATAGAGAGTTGTTAATAGAAGAAGAAGGTAAACTCAAACTAAAAGAGTACGATGAGCTGAAAGGCTATCTACAAAGTTGGTTACACCATAGACAATTAAATGAAATTTTTAAGGAAGACAATAAAAAGGGGGTTAGTTATACAATATCCAGATTTCAAAAAGAAATAGTGGAAGAGAATGTTAAATTGTTTAAAAAAGAATGTAGTGTTTTATTAGAGTGGGAAACCAAAGATAAAAAAAACACTTATTGGATCAGAAACACAGATATTTCTGCCAAGGGAAGAAGAGGTAAGAGTAATGCAGAAAGTAACACATCAATTTGAGGCTAAGATCTCCTGCCCTCCTGGGGCAGGTGCCAACTGACTGGCCTGGCAGAGATCATGGAAAAAGGAGTAGTGGAGAATTGGGTGGAATTAATCCTCTTCTTTGTATTTGATTACAGTGGTACCTTGGTTTACGAACTTAATCTGTTCCAGAAGTCCATTCTTAAACCAAAGTGTTCTTAAGCCAAGGCGTGTTTTCCCATGTGGGGGACTCAATTTACAAATGGAACACACTCAACAGGAATCGGAACATATTCTTATTCCAAGGCAAAGTTCACAAACCAAAACACCTACTTTTGGGTTTGCAGCATTCTTAATCCAAGTTGTTCATAAATTAAGCTGTTCTTAAACCAAGATACCACGGTGTGTATTATTTTCCCCAATGAATATTTAACCACTTTTACTGTGTTTTTTCGACCACATATATTGTTAAGGACAATGTAATGTACCATGGATGGATTCAATGTCATATTAAACATTTTCTTTGTGACTTATTATTAACATTATCTTATTTTATATTGCTAAAGCTGGTTAAGTCTGAAATGTACTTGTACTATGTTTCAATCTTGTAAAAAAAATTGTGTAAGATACATTAAACTTAAAAAAAGAAAAGACAGGAAGGAAGAAGAAAAAAGAGCCTAAATTGTCCACCATCCAAGCAGATCCCAAAGTGATGTTGAATAAGAACAACAATAATATGCAATAAAAGCATAACATAATCCATCACGAAACAATAAAAGCTAAAAGACAACTGCTGAAGAACAAAAAGGAGGACCAAAGATGAATGTAGCTTCTTTAAAATGCCTGGACAAATTGATGTCTTAACATGGCGCTGAGAGGACTGTGAGATCAATACCAGGCGAATCCCTAGGGAGAGTATTCCAAAACTGGAGCAGTTTAGGGCTTTAAAGGTAAGCCCTTGAATTGGGCCCAGGAGCAGATAAGCAGCTGGTGAACTTATTGAAGAATTGATGTAAATTGCTTCACCAGGCAAAGTACTTTCAGCCAGATTCTGAAGCTTAGGAGTCACCTTCAAGGACAGCGCTATTGTGTAACACATTTACAGTAGCCTAACTTGGAGGTTTCCAGAGCATGGATCGCTGGCGTTAAGCTATCCAGTAAGTGAACTACAATGACAGATGCTAAATGTTAAATGCTAATTTGGCATTCTGGGCGCCCCCTAACAAACCACAATTTCCAGAATGATTTTCTTTTGAAGGGGGTAGCCATGAAGTTTAAATACGTACAAAACTGACAAGATGTTTGTTGTGTAGGTATGCTCCAGGTTTTCGCCATAGTTTATGAAGATGTCTCTCTCCCTTGCAACTTCTCACTCTCTTAAAGGTTAAGGTACCCCTGACCATTAGATCCAGTCACGGACAACTCTGGGGTTGTGCGCTCATCTCGCACTATAGGCTGAGGGAGCCGGTGTTTGTCCACAGGCAGCTTTTTCCAGGTCATGTGGCCAGCATGACTAAGCCACTTCTGGCGAACCAGAGCAGTGCACGGAAACGCTGCTTACTTTACCGCCGGAGCGGTACCTATTTATCTACTTGCACTTGACATGCTTTCGAACTGCTAGGTGGGCAGGAGCTGGGACAGAGCAACAGGAGCTCACCCCGTCGTGGGGATTTGAACCACTGACCTTCTGATTGGCAAGCCCTAGGCTCTGTGGTTTAGACCACAGCGCCACCCGCATCCCTCTTACTTCACACTTAATTTTTCTCTTCTTAAAAAGAACGAAGGAAAGAAAGCTGGAGTGACCCACTTTCACTTGGGTTGGGGCACTCCCCATTAGTGGGGTCTCCCTATTTTCCAGTTAGAGATCATCAATGTGTCATAGATAACTTGTAGGACTTTGCTCACTGAGACCAAGTTCATTCTCCATTGAGCCATGAATGGGCAGCCTCAGGAAATGTCTGGCTCTCAGCCTAACCTACCTCATTGGGTCATTGTGAGAGTGAAATGACATGACTCCTTGTGAGACACTTTGAGCTCCTTGGCCAAAGGGTGGAATTCATAGGCGATGAAGAAATGCTTTGCCTCTCGGCAAGGATGACGCGGAAGGTTTGGAAAAAATGTGCACATCTTTTACTTATCTGTCTCAGAATATCCACAAGAGAGATGCATCATCCCGATTGTCATCTAATGTGGAAACTGGATAGGGATCAACCCTCATTTTGCCAGAGGCACCTTGAAGGAGCTGGAAGATATCTGTGCGTATGCAGAGTGGAGCTTCCAGCCATGGCTTACTCTGGTGGCTGTTTTAGATCTCAGCAACATTGCAGCGCATTGATAAAATCTAGAGTATTTTTTTGTGTAGTGCAAATAGCTAGATAATCTTTGGGGACAGAGAAAGCTTCACAACAGTAGCAGAAATAGTTAGGAGGGAAAGGGAAACTGGGTGGAGCATGGCATCACCTACATTTTATACACATTTATTCCTGTTCATGGAGAGATTAAAATGAGGGTTGTCACCAGTGCTTTTTTTGGGGGGGGACGGACGCAGGGGTACAGATACCCCCAAACATTTTGTGAATCTTTGTACTTTTGTCTATTTACTGTATTTATTTTTCCTGATTTGAACTTTAAAATTGTGATTTTCTTGAGTCAAAGTGAGAGTACCCCCTAAACATTTTTTTTAGAAAAAAGCACTGCTTGTCACCCTCCTTTTAAAAAAAAAAACAACAATCCAAACTCAGTTGACTAATTGTATGAGATTTAGGCCTGTTTACCTGTATATAAGCCCTACTAAATCCAGTGGGACTTCTGAGTAGAAAAGGGATTTTCTATTAAGATTGCAGCCTTCATTAATCAACAGAAAGAGCCCCTTGTTTTGCAAGGGGAAAGGGTTGTTTCCAACTAAGTTTTACTCAGAGTAGACCCATTGAACTTAATGGGCCTATTTATTTCAACAGGTTAACTCTGAGTAGGACGAGCATTGGCCACAACCTATGCTTGCACAAGGCTTGTTCAGGACATTTTGTTGTGTGGGTCAGAGGGCAAGACGGTGCCTCCTCACCCCTATTCCAAGTTTTGAAGCCAGGAAGACTGATACCTGAATATTACTTCACTATGGGTAATGAGCAGCATCATGCACCACACCTGAAGAGAGAAGGCTAGTTTAGGAGATGCGGGGCAGACGTTAGTCACACTGTCCTGTTCTACAACACCTCCTAATGCTCTAACACCTCCCCCTGTTCTCTAACACCTTCCCACTTACCCAGAAGCTGCCGCCTGAGGCAGCTGCCTCCTGCCTAATGGTAGGACTGGCCCAGAGGTCTGCATCTTGATTCTGTTCCCCATCTGCACAATCCGTGTGCCTTGATTTTTGTCTGTGCAAGGCTCTAGTGTAATCAAGGCTACCATGAAATGTGAATGGTGGGCTTACCTGCTCATCCTCATAGTCACTTTGTTGTGATGGCGTCTTGCACGCGTCTGCTTAATTTCTGTGGGGATATGTTGTACCCAAGCCAGCTTTCAGCACAGGCTTGCTGCCGGTTGGGTGGGACTGCTATGAAGAGAAAACAAGGTTTCTGGTAAATGCATATCAAAGGGCTGAGTCATTTGCTTTATACTACACTATTATTCATTGTCTTCGTTTCTGAAATAAAGTGCAACACACTGGAGTAGAAGGATCTCACATGGGGTCTTGGCAAGGCAGGACTTAGCGTCATAGCATATATGGAGATTTCTCAACAGTTCCAAAGTTCATAGCAACACCCCCTAATTCTGTTTGTAATTGTTACTCAGATGCACTTCCCTTTGTAAAACAAAAGAACAGACTAACAAGTTGCAGCTTAATTTTTAATGGCAGGTTATATGGGCAGCTTTCAAATGTATTACAGAGGTACCGTGGTTTATGAACTTAATCCGTTCCGGAAGTCCGTCCTTAAAGCAAAGTGTTCTTAAACCAAGGCGTGCTTTCCCATAGCAGCAGGGGATTCAATTTACAAATGGAACGCACTCGACAGGAAGCGAAACATGTTCTTATTCCAAGGCAAAGTTCACAAACTAAAACACCTACCGTATTTTTCGCTCTATAAGACGCACCAGACCACAATACACACCTAGTTTTTGGAGGAGGAAAACAAGAAAAAAAATATTCTGAATCTCAGAAGCCAGAACAGCAAGAGGGATCGCTGTGCAGTGAAAGCAGCAATCCCTCTTGCTGTTCTGGTTTCTGGGATAGCTGCGCAGCCTGCATTTGCTCCATAGGACGCACACACATTTCCCCTTACTTTTTAGGAGGGAAAAAGTGAGTCTTATATAGCAAAAAATATGATTCCGGGTTTGCAGCGTTCTTAATCCAAGTTGTTCATAAACGAAGCTGTTCTTAAACCAAGGTGCCACTGTACTCAATCCATGTTCAATGCACTGTCTTGCAGATGAGAAATGTCCCCAAATGCAAAAGGAAGGTCTCCGGTTGGACCAGACTAGTGACCAATATGTAAACATAACTGGTAAGTTTGTTTTGTCTCTCCCAAAAAATTCTTCTCCTCACTGGCCTCTGGCCACAACCTCTTTCCTCCCTAGGAATTTGCAAGGGGGTAGAGATAAATCTATCTAATCAGCACCTGTGGATCTGAGATCCAGCAGAATCGGGCAGGAAGATCCACTTAGCTGAGGGGCAGCAAAGAGAAAACAAAACAACCACAAAGTCATGCAGCCCAAGGAGTGTCCATAAAGCTGCCTGAGGATCTCTTGCAGTGTCACGGGCAGGACTGGCAAGCGTTCTGGTCTTGAAGCTGGGAAGAAAGTTGGGCAGTGTGACCTAGCATTTCATAGAATCATGGAATCATAGAATTCTAGAGTTGGAAGGGACCCTGAGGGTCATCTAGCCCAACCCTCTGCAATGCGGGAATCACAGTTAAACATTCCCTGACAGATGGCCGTCCAACCTCTGTTTAAAAACCTCCCATGAAGGAGAGTCCACCAGCTTCTGAGGGAGTCTTAGCCTCCAGAATTTGTTGGAGCAAAAGTGCATGTTGTCATTTTTCAATGCCTTTCCTATTTAAATAAGTGAAGTTCTCCATCCCAAGAGGCATCTGCATTTGATCTGCAATTGTTTTTACACATGCAATTGCTTTGGCATTGTTTTTACAGCAATGTAATTGTTCAATATATGTTTTCTATGGTCATGTGAAAATTGCTTTGAGATCCTACACAGGAAGTGATTCATAAATGAAAACTAATGAAATGAAAACTAATTGATTAGTATCAAGCTCAACAGGGTTTATATAATATGAATGCGAACAAGTTAAATGTGACAGGACAAGCCCTAAGCAAAGAATATTTTAAAATGTGGCATTCCAAACATAGAACTTTCAATCAACCAGGGAATAACAGACAAAAAGAAAGAAAGAAAGAAAGAAAGAAAGAAAGGATAAACTGTATTTTTTTGTAATGCCACACAGAGCCTTTCACTTTCTATTCTCACATTTTCAGAGTTTAACCTGCCCCAGCAACTTGTCTGTAAAGGGAGAATGGGGGGGACTTCCGGGTTGGCGCGATCCGGGAATGGCGGATTCCCTCCGAGCTCCGGAGGGAATCGGCTCAGCGGTGGATGGGTCTTTGCCGTGCCGGCGACACGGGGACCCTTAAAAACCGCAGGTGCAGATGCCTGCGGACTGAAGACTCGGCGGGTGCCTTAAGCGCCCCCCCTGATTCGCGAAGAGCCTTTTTAAAGGCTATGGAGGGGATACGGGGGACGGCGCGGCACTGAGAGTCGATCGCTACCGCCGCTGAGCGAAGCCGCGAGCCATAACTGGAGAGCGCTGACTTCCTTCCTTGAAATTCGGACTGAAAAAAAAGAACCCGTGAGTAATTTGGAACTGAGCTTTAAAAACTTTTACCTTTTGAATTGGAGACGACCGGGGGGGTGTGCCAAAAGGAAGTCCCCATCCCCCCCCCCTTGCAGACGATCCAGAGCAACGATATAAGAGCTAAGCTGGAGTGCCTACCCTGCAAAGGGTGAGTTTTAAAAAAGACAGTAACTTCCAAGATTTGGAAAAGCAAATTTAAGCAGGAGAGTGGAGTGTTGGAAGAGTTTTTGTCTTGTGGTAAACAACCCTCCCTCCCGAGCCCGGGAGCGATCTGCTTTGGAGCCTGTATAGAGGAGCAGAATTTGACAGCTGTCAAAGCTGTCAAATGGACTGTTAATACTGAAAAAATTGCTACTTAAGACCTCTCCGGATAAAAAGGAGTTACAATTGAACTAAAATTTTGGGAAACAAAGAAACAATAATAGGACAGAGGATTGTTGGAGAAAAAACCATCCAGTAACCAGATTCCCTCTAGGGGGAATTCTGTGGAATTACAATGGCTGTGGGTGGAAAGATACTGAGAGAAATCGAAAGGATGTTTTCACTGGTGGGAACCTTACAGGAGCAGACTACAGCTATGAGCAAACAATTGACGGCCTTGGATTTGGAAACAAGTAGCTCTGCTGAATGTAATGAGGACTTGAATGAGAAAGAACCCACAGCTGAATTTGAAACAATAAACAAAGAAGAGGAGAAGACAAAACAAGAAAGAGAACAAGATATGTGGGAAAATATTAACCAGAAGCCGATATTTGGAGAATACAAACAAGGAGACCATTGGATGGAATCTATTCCAAGCCTACGAAAGATACAGAAGATGAAAGTGGAGGCCCTGGGAGTTTATGGAACTCAGGAACTCGAAATAAAGAAGTACAATTGGGGCCTCCACATAGACTTTGATTTTGACCATCACCAAGACTTAGGCCTTGTGGAAATTCTTCAGCAGTTGCTTATAAATATGGGAAGAGACTATGGATTGATTGGATTGAATGTTAATGAAATCTTTCGAGACTCGATGACTGACAAAGAGGACTACCAACAAAACCGGCGGAGAGGGATTGAAATAGATTTGAGAGCCTCGGATGTGCGGAATCCAGGCTAAAAACTGTTATTTTGGACATGTCTTGGGAAAGGACGCAAAGCGGGGATGGGAGGGAGGGAAGCATAAACTTAAGCAACACTCAAGACTAGGGGTTTAGTAATAAGGAAATTACTTAAGAAAAAATGAGAAATCGAGAGAAGAGAATTGGGGTCCAACTTAGGGAAAATTTATTTTTTGGTTTCTATAAAAGGACTAATATTAAGAAGGATGAAATGCTAACTTGCTGACATAAATTTGGGAACAGGGATGCAAGGGAGGGGGTGGGGGGAAGTTAAGGACTAGGGTTAGAAAATAAGACTTTTTGGAACTATTCATGTTCGCTGTTGTTGTTTTTTTATGTTTGTTTTGGTGTTATGTGTTTTGTTTTTGTCTTTATAAAATGTGAAAACCCAATAAAAATTATTAAAAAAATAAAAAAAAAATAAAGGGAGAATGGGAACTTGGGCGTCGGTATGGGAGGCTGGACTCTCAAGCTATGCTCCTTTCTCTTCTGTGTCTTTGGCAGGATTTAATCTAATTAAAAGGTTTGCTCTGCTGAAGACCTCAGCCATTAAGAAGATCCGCAACCCCAAAGGCCCAATGATCCTGCGACTGGGCAGCACCCCTCTGGTCCGACCGACGGAGTGAGTATGCCTGCTCTCGATTCCAAAAACTAGTACGTGGCTGCATGTGCCTCAAGTCATCAGTGCAGTCGTTCAAGTTATTAAGCCAAGTGGGTCTTATTTATTCCCATTTAGGAACTGAGTATTCACTATTGCAGAGATAACAATAGAGCTTATTGTAAGACCCTGCTGGATCTCTGCAGACCTGCTGGATCTCTGCTGGTTCTCACAGTGGCCAACCAGATGTCTATGGGAACCTCACAAGCAGGACCAGAATGCAACAGCACTCTTCTCATGTGTGAATCCCAGCAACTGGTATGCAGAGGTGTACAGCCTGCAGCAATTGTGCAACAACCTTGCAACATGTGTCATGAATTCCCATATTGTGGATGGGGAACTGAGGCTGGCAGAGGCGCACAGAATGATTTGCCCCAGGCTTGGTGGGATAGTGTTAAATTTTGAACTTGCAGAAATACAGCATGGTGTGGTGGTTAAGAACGGTGGACTCGTAATCTGGTGAACCAGGTTCACTTCCCTGCTCCTCCACATGCAGCTGCTGGGCTAGTCACGCTTCTCTGAAGTCTCTCAGCCTCACTCACCTCACAGAGTGTTTGTTGTGGGGAAAGAAGGGAAAGGTGCTTGTTAGCCACTTTGAGACTCCTTAAGGGGAGTGAAAGGCTGGACATCACGTCCAAACTCCTCCTCCTCCTCCTCTCCTTCTTCTTCTTTTTACAGCCTTTTGAGTCTGTACCTATACACAGTGGTACCTCGGGTTAAGTACTTAATTCGTTCTGGAGATCCGCTCTTAACCTGAAACTGTTCTTGACCTGAAGCACCACTTTAGTTAATGGGGCCTCCTGCTGCCGCCGCGCCGCTGGAGCATGTTTTCTGTTCTCATCCTGAAGCAAAGTTCTTAACCCGAGGTACTATTTCTGGGTTAGCGGAGTCTGTAACCTGAAGAGTATGTAACCTGAAGCGTATGTAACCTGAGGTACCACTGTATCTTCAAGGTATACTGTACAGTGCAAGAACTGACCATAGGGACAAATATTAGGAATAATTGGGCAGGAATAATCAGGTGCACAAATAAAAGATGAGGGGGGCACCTAGTCTGACAGCAGTACATGTGAAAAGGATCTAGACTTGCTCTCCACTGCACCTCAGAGCTAACGTGATGCAATCTGCATTGGGTTGTGGAGGCTCAGGTTCAGATCCCCGCTTTTGAGTGATATTGGGCCAGCTACTCTGGACCGGTCAGCTTAGCCCACCTCATGGGCTTATTGTAAGGATAAGTCAGTGGCCTGTGAGTGGGAGAACCATATCTGCCCCTTGAGCTTCTTGGATGGAGGCAAATGAGAGGCCCGTGGACTTTCATGATGCAAGTGCTGGACTAGGCTCGGGGAGATCCAGGTTCAAATCCCCACTCAGCCATGATGCTCACCAGGTGACCTGGGGTCAGTCACCATCTCCCAGCCTAACCTTCCTCACAAGGTTGTTGTGAGCATGAAATGGAGTTGGGGAGAGGAACCATACATGATGCCTTAAGCTCCTGGGAGGAAAGGCAGGATGCAAATGTAGTAAATTGAATAGTCCTTGGGGAGTGGACATCTCATTGGGGTGTGTCTTGGACAGCGTGCCCAATGGGTACCAGCCCCAAACTCAAATAAATTTACCCTGTTAGCTCTATAAAAGAGCCTGCGGTCTCCCTGAGTAAGGATTGTGTGGGTGCCTCAGCCTCAGCCACAGCCTGATGGCTGGAAGGATGTTTTAATCCTAGAAAGTAAATCACAGCACAAGAGCAAAGGGCTTGGGCCTTTTCCAGGGCCATTATGCAATCCCTGCACCATGTGTGTTTTCCTTCCTCCACTGAAACTTGGCAGGCAGCCTGACGGGTCTAGACGGGTAGATTGAAGCAGCTTAAGCTGTTTACTAGCTAGGCCTTTCCTTTCATCAGGACCCAGCAGCAATGCAGAAAAAGCGGGCTTAGAAACTGGCTTCCCTCTTCTCCTGCCTCTGCACGTAGGACAGCCTTTAATGTCTAAAAGGGGAGGTGCTGCAAGGACTCGTCTCCTTTCCAAGACTTGCTTCAGTTCAGGCACTGGGGCTTTTGATCCCCATGAAGTAAATCAGAAAGCACAGCTGCACTCAGTTCCCAGTTTATGGGGCTGCTTTATTCTTCCTAAGTATGCAGAACGGAGAATAGCAAAACACACACACACACACACAAACCCACCAGTAAGGATCGTTTAAAATTTAAGCACTATGATACAATAAGATTAACATTTTGATAAACCTCATAAAGGTGACCTGTAACCATAACTTAAAACAGCAACATAAGTAAAACTGAAAGCAGCAGGACCTCCAATCTTCACAAATGTCAAAACACACATACACACCCACCATGTCAGTTTACACAGTAGCCTCCCTCTAACATTGAACATTGGGTGGCTTGGGCCAACAGCTCTGTAGGCAAAGCAGGACCAGCAGGAAACAAGGGCAAGACATCTACATTCTCAGGGAACTCTGGAGTTTGCAGATGGACATAAAATCAGTAAAGAGGGAGAAAACATCAGTGGCATCCCCCCATTCCCATCCAACAACAGGAAAAATCATGCATGTATACATGTGGTTGCATGGAAGTGAATGCACACACAACACACAACTGAGCCTGAAATGAAGTCTGGAGTGGTGCTTCAGACCCTCCCTTCCTCCGTACAGCCTCCCTCCTGCCATCCTACCTTATGAGGCCTGTAGAAGGAGATGCAAGAGGCCAGAAATAACAGCTTCCCCTGGGAGGAACAGAACATTCCACTCGCCTGCAGCTGCAAGTTTGAGGAGGAAGAGGAGAGGAGAGGAAGACTCCGCTCCAACAGTGAGGGGGAAGATGCAAATGGAAGAGCCCTGGGCACTCAGGCACATGTGCACAGCAGCAGCAGCAGCAGCAGCAGCAAAGGCAGTAGAGAACATACTGAGGACAGAACACAACACTTTGTTGTGCATCTGATTGTCGGGAAGACCTTCAAGTAAAAATGCTCCTCCCTGCCAGAACTCAGTCTATCTCTTTCTCTTCCAGAACTGCCTACCTTAGTCTCTCCACTCCCACCCAGGCTGGGGAGTGTTTCATAGCTAGTAGCCATTGGCCATGAAAGACCATCAAGGCAACCAAAATGATCAAAGGGAAGGAGCAACTCCCCTTTGAAGAAAGTTTGCGGCGTTTGAGACTTTTCAGCTCAGAGAAAAGCCGAGTTAGAGGTGGCATGATAGAAGCTTATACAATGGCGTGTGGTGTGGAGAAAGTGGGTGGGGAAGGGAAAGGTTTTCTCTCTCCCTCTCATACAACATTAGAATTTGTGGACATCCAGTGAGGCTGAACATTGGAAGATTCAGATGAAAATACCGTATTTTCCCATGTATAACACATCCCCTTGTATAAAACACCCCCTATTTTAGGGGCACTCAAATTTAAGAAAATGGGGGGTGGGGAATTCCCCAGAGTTGTTGAGCTTTTTTTGGGGAGGGTTGCCCAGAATTGTTGAGCTTTGGGGGGGGGATTGCAAAATACCCAACTCACCCACAATACTGCTAGCAGCCTATCGCCAACACAGCAACCAATCGGCAGCAGCCATTACCACTCCCACCAATCAACAGTGACCAATCCCACAACCCAACTCTAAACTACCCATGTATAAGATGATCCAAAAATTTTCACGGTAGTCTCTAAGAAAAAAACTTCGTGTTAGACACGGAAAAGTATGGTACTTCTTTACACAGCGCATGTTTAAACTATGGAACTCATTCCTGTAAGAAGTAGCAATGGCCACCACCTTGGATGGCTTTAAAAGAGAACTGGATAAATTCACGGTGGAGCAGGCGATTGATGGCTATTATGCTCTCTCCCTCCATGGTTGGAGGCTTCTGAACACCAGTTGCTGGAAACCACATCAGAAGAGAGTGCTTGAATCCTGCTTGCGGATTTCCCACAGCAAGCTGGTTGGCCACAGTGAGAACAGGATGCTGGATTTCAGGGGCCATTGGCCTGATCCAGTAGGCTCTTCCTATTTTCTTTGGTAAGGTTTACTTAAGCCACCATGTTTGGGTCTTCAGTGCCCACTGATTAAGTATTTTCAACAAAATGGAAAGCCAAGAGGAAAAGAGCAGAGGATGATCACAACACTAATTTAAGCACCTTGGGGTTCCTGACACAGTTTCCCCCGCAACCACTAAGCCAGAGCACCTGCCCCACCCACGCTTGGAAGATGTGGCGTGGCAGAAAAGAGGCTAGTGACTGCGTAGATCCCGATGGTGCCATCAACATCCAACACAAATATATTCCAGCATGTATGATGGTACTTTGCTTTAATGCTCATTCAGACACCTGGAATTCAGCCTTCAGGGAAGGAGGCTCTGCTACAAAGGATTTGAGGGCATTGGAAATAGCTGGTGCACGGCAGAACAGTTGCCGTGGCTCTCCTTTCAGAGTGCTCCCCTCCCCTCCACCTTCTTAGCAATTGCCGCTTTTGTTCTGTTCCAAAGAAGACAAGTCTGTAGTTGTCTGCAGAAGGCGTGCAGTCACCTCTCAGGGGCACATGTGGAGTAGGACCACTCAGATAGTACCAGCTTCAAAGGAAACAATGGTGAGGACCAAAAGAAGACAAAGACAAAGAAAAAGAGGGAGTCCGTGGAAAATCTTACAACTGAATTCTGATTTCAGTCACCGAAACTCTTCTAAGAAATGGCAATAACTAAAAAGATATGTATAGATGTTTAAGCTTTCTTGAATGCCAGAACTGAAGGGTCCAAGCAAGGGGTGCCACAGGGCTACCACTAAGAAGTCCCTGTCTTGCCATCCTAACAGGTTTTATTGGTCAGTGCATAAGTAGGAGTTCAGAAGCAAATAATAGATTACAAGCAGGTTCACATGCATACATTTTCATATTTCAAGTATATTTTAAAAATTGTACACAATATAACACCCTTGTAACACAGGTCAGTATTATTATGGCTTTATTATAAAAGGAAGT